TTATAGGCACCAGCGTTTCTCAGCACCCTTAGCTTGGTTTCTATATAGAAATAATGAATTATGGTAGTTACTAAGAGTAATCACAAGCAGTACACCTTATATCTAAGATATTATGAATATTATGTAGCTGAATCTTGGATAACTGTAAATGTTGGGTGAGTTTCAGCTGGTGAAGTAATGTATTCTTGGTGGTAACATAATGTATCCTTGGTTATTCCTTGGTAACTTTCTGTTTAGTGATGTATCTTTAGTTATTCCTTGGTTGCTCCAGATCTGATTCCTATATAAGCTTGCTTTAGTTCACAGTAAACATGCACTGGTACACAAGCCTCTGCATCTCCTGTGTCTTGATTTCTATCTGTTGGGGTCGCCAAGCCCATCAGGCTGGGTTTGTGGTCACTGCACCATGACAAGCGACCATTGCCTTTTCAGATGCTAATAAGAACTTTGGGGTCCTGATACGTCATCCTGGAAAAAAGGACATCACTCACATCATCCCTAATCCTGGCTCTGTCCAGTTGGGAGAACTTCTTGCTATACTTAAAGCTTTAACAGAGTGACAGATCAAACCCCTAAATCTCTTTTCTGATAGTACCTATGCTGTTCAGGTCGCTAAAGTCCTCGCCTTTTCTCATGTTAAAAACTTCCACCCCACTACACCTCACTATGGTCAAGCTACAGGAATGCCTACAAAATAGAAGTTACCCATCATACATCTCACATATCCGCTCACATACCACACTTCCCGGAATCCTAGCTTGGGGGAATGCCACCACAGATGCCCTGATCATGACAGTCCACTCTAGCCTGTTAGAGCAAGCAAGAGCTTTACATCAACAATTCCATCTGTCCCCTCAGAGTATTCATAAACTTCCCAGAAATCCCCATGTCCCAATACAAGCACCTAGTCTGTTCATGTGCTACCTGTGCCCCACTATGCCTCTCAGGCCCCTTAACAGGGGAGGAGTGAATCCCCATGGTTTGATACCCAATGCCATTTGGCAGATGGATGTGACTCGCTACCCCCTTTTGGGAAATTGAGATTCATTCATGTTATAGTTGACACATGCTCCTCCCTTCCTTATGCCTTAGCTCTTTCAGGGGAAAAGACTATACATGCCATTAAAGCTATAAAGTCCACCATGTTAGTCATAGGCATACTCTGGGCACTTAAGACTGGTAATGGGCCTGCTTATTTCTCTCAAGAATTCAATAAATTTGTTTCCTCCTAGGGAATCAAACATACCTTTGGTATTCCCTATAGCCCACAAGGACAAGCCATTGTCAAAAGGACCAACAGGACACAAGTCCCTTCTGGCTAAAAGCCCCTCGGCTGAGGCCAAACGCAACCCTCACCTGGCTCTTATTGAGGCTTTGTTCCACCTTAATTTCCTCATGTTTGACGACGGGGGTCTCAGTCCAGCATACAAACATTGGTCCTTCTTGCCTTGGGCTACGTCCCTGCCACTAGTTAGGTGGAGGGATCTGATTTCATCCCTGTGGCAGAAACCATCCCCCGTCCTGACACGAGGATGAAGATATGCTTGTATTTTTCCACAGGACACGACAACCCCCATCTGGATTCTGTCGAGAGACATCTGGCCAGCTACAGAAACCCATCTGGAGACCGGGCCTGACTGCGAGTTTGATAAGCCATGACATCCTTTTCTGGCTTTGTTATCTTTGGCACGCTTTTGTCCTTTGGCTGTGCTTCTCTCCAGGCTTTAGATCTCTAGGCACTGGTCCCCTTACCACCTCTGATCCTCCCTGTAGATGAACAGTCACCCGCTTTCCTGGTTCTCTTTACTACTAATGAATCCCTCAGTCTCCCCACCATGGAATTGATTCATGTGTCAGTTCCCATAAACGGCACATGGTCCCTTGCAGGATCGCTCTGCTTCTGCCCAGTCTTAACCCCTCCTCCCCTAATGTCTCTGTCGCTCCCTCTTTAACATCACAACAGGCGACTACCGTGGAAACCGAAGCCAGGGCTCCTTATGGGGCCTCAAAATCTGGTCTCCCTTAGTAAAGGACACTTCTGAGACTACAGTGCCCTTCATGCCCCCTGGGGCCACCACCTTCCCCCCCAAGGGTCAGGTGTCCACCATGGACCTGGTGCCCTCCCACCCATAAACTTCCCACTACATTGCACTTTCCTATTCCATGGGAACAGTGCCTCCCGCTCACTCCTGGAAGTGCGCTCCTCTTTACTACAGATTATGATGGATGCCCACAGGCTTCCTCCCTGGCAGCCTGGAGACACCTTGTCTCTACAAAACCTTACTCCTATGTCTACCCTGACCCCAGGTGTAAAGACACTGTCAGGGGGGCCTGGGAGCTCTGCAGGCCAGAGGCTTGCCTGGATTCGCATCCTCTCTTCTTTGTATTAGATGGAGCCGTCTTTGATGGTACATATACAGGTGATAACTCAGAGACGGGTTCCTCGGGTGTCGCAGAACCAACTTGGACACCTAATGAAGTCTCTGTTAGCATCTCTTTTTCGTTCTCACCCATTTGTGTTTGTCCTCTGTTCTGCTTCTTGCTAATGTCACGAGTGACCCAGAGGATACACTTAACTACTCCCTTGCTAACTGCACTCTCTCGGCATGCTGGATTTTCCCTGCCTCTCTCGTTCTCTTTGTGCATGAACCCACAGCAATCTGGGTTCCCGTTCCTAATGCCACTCATTTCCATGCTGTCACCCTCATTGAACAGATGGCTATCCAGCCCCTCCCCTGGGTCAAGACAGATTTTGGTATTACTGCAGCAATTGTCACTGCCATTGTTCTTTCCTTAGGGGCTGCAGCCACTGCTGCTGTTGCTATCACTCAATCTTCCACTACTGTGGAAACACTCAATGAGGTCATATCCAAAACCTCTGCAGCCTTACACACTCAATCTCTTATTAATCAACACCTCTTCCAGGCCATTTCTGTCATCCAACAACAGGTAGACCTCCTCAGGGAAGAGATGGTGATCATCAAACAGATGATGCTAATGGTCTGTGACCCACGGTTCAAAGCCCTGTGTCTCACACCTTACAAAGTATATAACCTTGCTAGGGCCAGGATGGAACTCTCACAGTACATCCATGGCCACTGGAGCCAAAAGTTTTCTCAACTACTCCACCTTGCTCACTGACCAGATCATCTCCCTAAATTATACATGGGCTCAGACATTAGATATAAACTCTGGGTTCCTTGACAAACTTTGATCAAACTTAAAAGCTTTGTTTGACCCTGCATGGATTGTTACTTATATACTCTTGGGTGGCATAGACTTCTTTTCTTGCTCATAAAATGCCTTCTTCTATGCTTCCACAGACAAAACCAAGTAAATTACTCTGTGTATCAGGTTCTCAAAATGCTCGAGGATCCAGACTTTGATACCCCCCCCCCCCGTTAGGTCTAGCAGGTCTGGCTTGCTGACATCTGAGAAGCGGCTGTGTAATTTCTTGCCCTCCTCCTCCTCACATGGTCATGCCAGAAGTCACACCCTTGAAGGGCTGGTAGTCAGTGATGGGTAAGATCCTGATGGTCAGGATAAGACAGGCACAGTCCATCAAGCTGGGTGTCCTCTGAGGTGGGGTCAACTATGTCGAGGCAAAGAACCTCGGCTCCCACTGACCTTTCTATAATAAAAAGGGATGTAGGAAAGGAAGTGCCAGGCCTAAGCACAGGCTGCACTAGGGAGCACAGCTTCCACTTTGAGAGTGCAACCCATGCTTCCGCAAAATAGCCAACGTACAATCTGCCTGGATGAGGGGACATATCAGGAAGCGACACACCAACTTACGGGACACTGGGGGCAGGGGGAGAGATATATAAGGCTTGCACTTCCCAGCAATAAATGAGTCTGCAGCACCTCACCTAGTGCTTGCTCTCACCCGACTCCCGGAGTCTCTGTGTTGAATCTGTGCCACTCACCCCCACCTCAGCCAGAACCCTCGTTCCCTGCAGTCCCTTTTTGGGCTGGACCTGTGAGGAAACCTGCAACAAAGATGAAATTTTAAAGTAGTTTTAATTTGCATTTCCCTAATTATTAGTGATGTTGAACATCTTTTAAGATGCTTCTTAGCCATCGTCTTCTTTTGAGAACTCTCTTCAGCTCCTTAGCCCATCTTTTAATTGGGTTACTTCTTGTCTTGATTCTCTGTTTTTTGAGTTCGTTATATATTCTGGATGTTTAAACCTCTGTCAGATGTGTCACTGGTGAAGATTTTCTCCCATTCTGTGGGTTTTCTCTTCACTTCCCTGGTTACCTCCTTTGATGAACAGAAGCTTTTTAGTTTAATGGGGTCCCATGTGTTGATTCTTAACCTTGTTTCCTGAGCAATTGATGTCCGGTTTAGAAAATCCTTTCCTATACCTATATCATGTAGGTGTTTGCCAATGTTTTCTTCTAACAGTTTCAGAATTTCAGGCTTTACATTGAGGTCTTTGATCCATTTGAAATTGACTTTTGTGCAAGGTGAAAGATAAGGGTTTAGTTTCATTCTTCTACAAGTGGAGATCCAGTTTTGTCAGCACCATTTGCTGAACGTGCTGTGTTTCCTCCAGTGAATGTTCTTGGCCCCTTTGTCAAATATCAGATGGCTGACATTGCATGTACTCATATTTGAGTCTTCAATTTTGTTTCATTGAGCTATGGGTCTATTTTTGTGCCAGTACCATGTAAATCACTTCCTTTATGACTATAGCTCTGTAATGCAGCTTAAAATCTGGTATAGTAACCTCCTGGCATCGTTCTTAGTGCTCAGGGTTGCTTTGGCTATCTGAGGTCTTTTGTGCTTCCATATGAATCTTAGGATGGTTTGTTTCCAATTCTGTGAAAAATGTCATAGGGATTTTTATTTGCATTGCATTGAATCTATAAATGGCTTTTGGTAGGATGGGCATTTTCACAATATTAATTCTTCCAATCCATGAGCATAGGAGGTCCTTCCATCTTCTGATGTCTTCCTCACTCTCTTTCTTTAAAGATTTAAATTTTTTATTATAGAGTTCTTTAATGTCTTTGGTCAGGTTTATGCCGAGA